AACAACTGGGGTGACGAGACTGGTGAAACGAGACTGGTGGGACGAGGCTGGTGTAACGACTGGTGTGACGACTGGTGTGAGGAGACTGGAGGAACGACTGGTGTAACGACTGGTGTGACGACTGGTGTGGCGAGACTGGTGTGACGAGACTGGTGTGGCGACTAGTGTGACCAGACTGGTGTGACGACTAGTGTGCCGAGACTGGTGTAACGACTGGTGAGACGACTAGTGTGACGACTAGTGTGACGAGACGGGTGTGACGAGACTGGTGTGGCGACTAGTGTGACGACTAGTGTGACGACTAGGGTGACGAGACTGGTGTAACAACTGGTGTGACGAGACTGGGGAAACGAGACTGGTGTGACGAGACTGGGGTAACGACTGGTGAAACGACTGGTGTAACGACTAGTGTGACGAGACTGGTGTAACAACTGGTGTGACGAGACTGGTGAAACGAGACTGGTGGGACGAGGCTGGTGTAACGACTGGTGTGACGAGTCTGGTGTAACGACTGGTGAAACGGCTGGTGTGACGAGACTGGTGGAACGACTGGTGAAACGACTGGTGTACCGACGGGTGTAACGACTGGTGTGACGAGCCTGGTGTGACGACTAGTGTGACGTCTAGTGTGACGACTAGTGTGACGACTAGTGTGACGACTAGGGTGACGAGACTGGTGTAACAACTGGTGTGACGAGACTGGTGTAGCGACTGGTGTAACGACTGGTGTGACGAGCCTGGTGTGACGACTAGTGTGACGACTAGGGTGACGAGACTGGTGTAACAACTGGGGTGACGAGACTGGTGAAACGAGACTGGTGGGACGAGGCTGGTGTAACGACTGGTGTGACGAGCCTGGTGTGACGACTAGTGTGACGTCTAGTGTGACGACTAGTGTGACGACTAGGGTGACGAGACTGGTGTAACAACTGGGGTGACGAGACTGGTGAAACGAGACTGGTGGGACGAGACTGGTGTAACGACTGGTGTAACGACTGGGGTAACGACTGTTGTGACGAGACTGGTGGAACGACTGGTGAAACGACTGGTGTAACGACTGGTGAAACGGCTGGTGTGACGAGACTGGTGTGACTAGACTGGTGTAACGACTGGTGTGCCGACTGGTGTGACGAGACTGGTGAAACGAGACTGGTGGGACGAGACTGGTGTAACGACTGGTGTAACGACTGTTGTGACGAGACTGGTGTGACGACTCGTGTGACGAGACTGGTGTGACGAGACGGGTGTGACGAGACTGGTGTGGCGACTAGTGTGACGAGACTGGTGTAACAACTGGTGTGACGAGACTGGTGAAACGAGACTGGTGGGACGAGGCTGGTGTAACGACTGGTGTGACGAGACTGGTGTAACGACTGGTGTGACGACTGGTGTAACGACTGGTGTAACGACTGTTGTGACGAGACTGGTGTAACGACTGGTGAAACGACTGGTGTGACGAGACTGGTGTAACGACTGGTGTGACGACTGGTGTAACGACTGGTGTAACGACTGTTGTGACGAGACTGGTGTAACGACTGGTGAAACGACTGGTGTAACGACTGGAGTAACGACTGGTGTGACGAGACTGGTGTAACGACTGGTGAAACGACTGGTGTAACGACTGGTGTGACGACTGGTGTAACGACTGGGGTAACGACTGTTGTGACGAGACTGGTGTAACGACTGGTGTAACGACTGGTGTAACGACTATTGTGACGTCACTGGTGTGACGACTGGTGTTACGAGACTGGTGTGACGACTGGTGTGACGAGACTGGTGTGACGAGACTGGTGTGACGACTGGTGTAACGACTGGTGTAACGACTGGTGTAACGACTAGTGTGACGTCACTGGTGTGACGACTGGTGTGACGAGACTGGTATAACGACTGGTGTAACGACTGGTGTGCCGTCACTGGTGTGACGACTGGTGTGACGAGACTGGTGTAACGACTGGTGAAACGACGTAACGCAATTTATTCTTCTATCATTTAATATAAACTTTATTTCATACCAAATTAAGTTGCATTACATTACATAACATACAAAGTACAGAGGAATGGGATCCGGAAACAAGTTGAAATAACTTATATAAATCCGTTTCCGAGAATTTATCTCATTAATTTAAGGCATGATGGCATAGTTACTGAATTCTAAGGAAAGAAATATAAACACTTAAAACAGTAGTTTACTTTTAAACGTAGTTCAAGGGATATTTGAAATGAGAGTAAAAGAAAAGGGGTACAGGGGGGATATAGATGCCCGTGCCAATAAGAATAGAAGGAGAAGAAATAGGTGATGTGAAACAAAGGATCGTTGTATAATGAATAGGACTTAGTCAAATCTTTTAGAATGGATGATGTAGTTTTGTACAGATGAAAAAATTAAGGCATTTTCGTCATCTGTAAGCTCATTATTCCCGAACAAAAGTAAATCAGTTGAGAGTGGATGATTGATTTAGTTAAATGTGTGTAAACGTAGTTGAGAAAAAAGACAACAATGTAATAGATAATGTTCATTGGTTTCATTTGCTTGCATGCAAGAACACAGAGGACTATCAATTAGATTTCTCTGGTATAGATAAAACTTAAGGGAACTACACTCCATTCTTAATCAGCATGATGCATCTGCCCCAGTCTGGTACCATTAAAGTAGAAAATTTTAATTTTGTGAGAGGGCTTGCGTAGATAGGTTTTAAGTTTATAAATTGAAGGATAGTTCTTGACATAGTCAGGCAAGGAGTTCCAGATACTGATGACAGATGGCAAAAAAGATTTATTATAGAGACTCGTATGACTAACTAGTGGACGAAAATTATTTCCCGTGCGAGTATCATGGTTGTGGTAATTACGGTTACGCTGAGGTAGAATATCTAGAAGATATTTAGGAGCCAGACCATAAACCATTTTGTGGAAAAGAGGAAGCTTGTGCTGTTTACGTCTTTCCTCGGGGAAAGCCAACCTGTTTCAGTATACAGTTTAATTCTACTTGTGAGTCTAGTGCCGCAGGTGACTATGCGTGCTGCTTCTAATTGAAGATTTTCTAATAATTCAGATTGAGCTTTAGTAAGGCAGTCCCATAAGATATCTCCATAGTCTAATATAGGTCGAATAAAGGTGTAATACATAGTTTGGAGACTATACCTGTCCAAAGAGAATTTAAATTTACGTAAGATATTTTTTTTAGGTGAAATCTTAGATATCAAATAACTGATGTGTTCATTCCAATGACCATTTCCAAATGATTAAAAATGATGAAAGCTCTGAAACAACAACCCCTTACTTTGCATATTCGGATAAATTCCCCCAGAAAATGCATTCAATACGTAAGCATTTAAAATACGCAAAAAGTTACGCAAATGCTTCTTTAAAAGGGCTGCTTCAGTACAGCTTTTTTTTACAGAATGTGTGATTCCCTTATTGGCGAGATATCGCTAATAACCCCTCATGGTGAAGTTGATTACCCGGTAAACCAACAGATGGTTTTATATGTCACTGTGGTGGTATAGCAATAGATATGATTTTGTATTTACACATATATCGTATATAAAATGTCATCATGACATAAACTTATTTTTATTGTTGTTGTTTTTATGTTATATATTTTGGATATTACTTTTTGTTTACAAATATTATTGATGATAAACTAAATTCAATGCATAATATATTTGTACAAATTGAACAATAAAAAACTTATTTGTAACATTGAATAAAGAATTGGAGAATCACCGAAAGCTGTAAATGAGTTAACGTAATGAATGAGAAATGAAAATTAAAGTAATTATTTGTAAATATTTAACATTCAACATCATTCAACACGTGTATTCAACACTATATTGAGTGTGAGTGTGTGTTACCTTAATCTTATTGGCTATTTAACTACAACAAACATAAAATAAAATTTATATAAACGTATCAAAATTTGCATACAGATAAAGCCCTTCTGGTACTTATACTGAAAAGATCAAAATCTGAATTACTTAGTATTTCATTTAAAAGCCCGCGTTCTTTTATCTGTTATATCTTTCTATCAAGATCAATAATATAAAAAAGAAATAAGTTAATGCTTGAAAGATGTATATGTGACATATTCCTGTACATAAGTGTATTCCGAAATAAAATCCAAAATAAACTTATTTGACATAATTTTTCCATGATAAAATCCAGCTGATTAGGAATTTAGTACATGTGTCGTTCCCGTGTATACATATTTTGCTACATCGTATTATTTTCAAAGTACTTTACATTGAAAAATAAAGTCCAGATACGGATTCTCCGCTAACCTTTCCGGATGTTATACACGTGATGTATACATCCGTTGAACACCTGGGCCGTTTTCGTTTAAACGGTCAAACCGGTCGGACCACTGTTGTTCGTTTATTAAATAGGGTCGGACCTAGTAATCTGATGCTGCTTTCAGGCGAGCCTTGAGAAAGCCTTGCAAGGCATGCATACACATTTGCAGGTCCGCCAGGGTTTATACACGAAATTGTTACATTTATAAACGGTCAAACCGGTTGTTCCGCATAAACGAACAGGCCCCATGATATTATTATTAGTGACAAGAGTAGCTCTGTAGAGCTTGGCAGTCCCATTGTAACATGAACCCAACCTTTCACAGTTGTCACTAGCGCTACCAAACGTCTATCGTATTGATACCAAACACTTGATAATAAAATGTAGAAAGTTTAATTCATTCATATAGCACTAGCACTAGCAGTGATAAATACATTTGTTACGGCAGTAGCGGATCATACTACGACATCGAACTATTCAATTGATGCCTTGCCTTAAAAAGTTAGGTAGAAACTTCTAACTGGAAATTCGCACGAACTAAATAAATAGAGAAGGGTTTGATTATACCGGATGAAATATTTAATACAAAGAAGGGAACAAGCTACCGTTAAGGTAGGTCTGTTCATGATCAGGTGGATTAGCCTCAGTACGCTACCCGGCCTTACCGGACTATACCTGGCTGGTATTAGTTCTTTTGATTGCAGAACCGACAATGTTTATTATTAACCGAACACGAAAGGTAATTCTATTCCAGCTAAGCTCACTATTGACGGGTGATTACAGACCATGGATGGTAAGTGTGATATACTACAGTAACACATATATTATACTTAAGTTAAAGAAGCAAAAAAATACTATTCATTATCTTGTTCAGTTTCCCTAGTCTTAATTCCTGATTTAAGAGATATGTATAGTGAATAGTCACGGGGAGGTAACTCACGTACATCGACTTAAAGGATAGCTTTGAAACTAAATGGATATATAAATATGACAGGCCAATTTAATTATTTGACATTATTTAAAAAAAACAATACGAAGCATGAACTTAAAGCATATACAAAATATAAAAAAACAACAGAAAATAGAGAATACGAAAGTACATCTGCTAATTCACGCCGACCCCAGAAACAAGACAAGTACACAATGTTAAATAAAGTGACGTCTTCTCATCCAAAGACACAAACATTAAATCTACTCCTATCCAATCAATCAGAATGCTCTCGTCCAGCGTAGTCTTTAGTTACCAACTTAGAATGAAGAAATAACTAAACAGATGTCCTCTTTAAAAGTATATATAGTTTATCCCAAGGGCCTATATTGTACAAAAGAAATTGAAAGTAATAATGAATGAAAATGTTCCTAAGTATGCACTAGGTGAAAATATATTGCGCTTTAAGGTCAAACTCTTACACACAAGAAATGTCTTAAAATCTTTCTTATAGCAGATCCAAATTATGCCATGAGTGCTTGAAAATAAAGATTTCTATTCTAAAGTACATATCTACAATAGTTTAAACATCAATACAGGCAAAATACAGAACTAAGCCTAGTCCAAAACACTTTACTATTCGTTTTATACTAATATAGACCAACAGGAATGCCTACAGTCTGCTAGAATATCGTGCCACCGAGCTGAACAAAGATATTGTCGATCAAAAATTCAATACGATTTCAACCGTTGTGTAATTTATTTTGACCTTTGGCAAAATATGCTGCAAAACAGTTTGCAACCAAATATGTATATGGCGTTTGTCTATCTTGGTATAAAACGAACAGTAAGAGAACGAATTCGTTACTTCAGCTTGGTTTGAGTTGTGTTGACAGAAGATACAGTTTTCTGCCAGGATGTTCATGATTGGTCAAAAGTCCACATTTTATTTATTTCTTCTTAATACGCCTGATACCCTAATTTAATGGTAACAGGAAGTTGGGATAATGATTTGATTGTGAAACTAGCAGGGCCAGAGATAAAACGTTGTTTATAAGGGTTCTTGAGAATCCATTTCAAAGGAGGCAGAACTCGTTGAGTGTGGTTTGCACAATTGGAACAAAAATTCAGACGGCTAATTCCCTTTTTATTGACCTAAAACTGTGATTTAATGAGAACATTATCCTTTTCCAGCATGCTCTTGTTCTGCCCATTGTCTAGCGCACTCTCACAATCCACCAGCATCTAGAAATTCACATTCAAATTGATCAGAGTCTATCGATGCTTCTAACCCTTTATGAAAAGCCCTCGCGGCTTCCAGTACGGAAACTATTTAGATCGCCAGTTACTTAGCGTCCAGCTGGGCCATAAATGTATAAGAATGAAGAACAGGAACACTCTGCAGAAGAGGTTTATCTAGTCATCTCAAATCAGCTGCTGTAATTAAAAAAGTCTGAAAGCAATGGGTTAAGACCAACTGTGATTGCGATACTTGTTTATCTGAAGTAAACTGGTATGTTAGCGCTTCGACGGATAACTGATGTAGGATACATGTAGAACTGATGGAATGGCATCAATCCTGTTGTCGTTCTTAGAATTCCGACTTACCGGAGATGCAGATGTTAAATCATTTAAAGTTTCCAAATGTCATCAGGAAAGTTTAAGTTGAATTCTCTGGTTATGTACAACATTTTAGCATATATATGCACAACTAGATAACAAATCATGATTTAACAATAAAACAACGACCAAAACACTTGCATATAAAATTCATACCCATCAACAACAACTTACGACAATATATTTACACACAGAAACAATTGGAATTGTAGTTATACATGTCAGTATCATGTTAGCAATGTTGAGTTGCCCTAGAACGCCAAACAAATAGGATATAAAATAGGTGATGGAAGAAAAAAGGAAAACATTAGGTCAACAGTTCTGCTCCAATGATGTTGAATGCTTATTTCCTTTTAACCCTCTCTTTCTTTTTATTTACCATTACTTGTTTAATGTATTGTTGTCTGTGTTTGAAAAATGCAATCTTATGATATGTGTTGACGCCATGGTATAACTTTTGAAGAGACAGTATTTATTACCGAAGATTGCTGTGAAATATCGTTTTCTCATTATATTAAACTTTCAATGCGATTCGTTCTATTGCAGGGTTGGAGTTAGCCATCGTTATTCTCATTTCTGTTGCTTTTTTCGGCTGCGTCCTTGGAAATGTAATCATTATTTGGAAGAAACGTTATAAACCTTGCTGTGAAGACATACCTTGTTATTCCGTTGAAACTGAACCAGAGAGTGAACAGACAATGGATTGTAGCCAGCCCCAACCGCCGGCACCAATACCTTATAGATACCCAGCTGCAACTATCTGGAATCCATTCGCAGGTACCACGACGGACCCCTGGGGTAAGTGTCACTGTATGCCATATTGGTTTCAGCAAGTCAAAACAAAAATTTGCTTGTTTCAAATATCAATTTTAACCCAATAGAAAGAAAAGAGAGACTTCACTATGAGGGACCGCCGTTAATCCTATTATCTGAATAGAGTGAGTAATTTAAAAAACTACAACAATGTATGACAAGGTTGAGTGATCGACAGCGTAACAGACACCGACACGCCCCTTTCCCTGCATAGTCGGGGATGGTTTTCTCCGTGTAACCGAATATACTCATGATGTATCCCTGTGCAAGTGTATCGTTATACGTAGTTTACGAAATAAGCTAACTCACCTTGAAAATATTGCAGACGAATTTCACGTAGTATGTATCACGGAATCCCACTTAGACAACAGTATATCTGACGAAGAAATAGCACTTCCAGGTTTTAATAATAATCCTTTCCGGAAAGACCGTGAATACTCACAGGGTGGGGGTGTCGTTGTTTATATTTCGCCTTTAATTTCTGCCCAGCGGCGTTTTGATTTAGAATTTCCATCAGGTGAGGCCATCTGGGTCGAAATTATTTTTAATAACTCCTCGTATCTTCTATGTACAGTATATAGACCAAATGACTGTGTAAATCCATTTTGGGAACAATTTGAAAACTCCATTGAAAATGCACTTGATGAAAACCCACATGTCATTATAGTTGGTGACATAAACGTTGACCTACTGGTTGAGACTCGTCATAAACTGAACGACATTATCCGCACGTATCTGTTTTCTAATGTAATAAACCAACCAACTCGGGTAGGCCAAACACGTGCTTCGCTCCTTGACCCCGTGCTCGTGAGCGATACATGCGTTGTTGGTTTTTCCGATGTTATTGAAATTGACAGGGACATTTCGGACCATGACGCTACTCTCGTTGAAATTAAACTAAACATTTTTCTTACTAACAAATTTAAACGCATGATTTGGTGTTATAAAAATGTTGACTATCCTCAATTTAATAACCTGTTACAAAACACCGATTGGCAATACGTATTTAGAAATGCTTATACATGCGACAATATGTGTTTGATTTTTACAGATAAGTATTTGGAATATGCTCATCTTTGTATTCCAACTAAGGTTATTACTGTTAGACCAAATGATAAACCGTGGTTTACTGCTGAACTACGTCGTGAAATTAGGATTAGAAATAGATTGCATAAAAAATTAAAAAGAGTTTTTTTTCTGTAGAGAATTTAGCTAAATTTACAAAAACATAGAAATCATGTCAACAATCTCAAACGTAGACCAAGAGAACTGTTTTATGCTGATATTAATGGACTTTTTAGATAACTATGCAAAAACTAATCAAAAGAATTTTTGGAAACTGGTTAGGAGATTAACTAAAAGTGCAGATGTATCTTACATTATACCTCCTCTAAAAGACCCTATTACTAACTCTACTGCAGTAGATGATGAACGAAAAGCTAATATTTTAAATGACTATTTTGTGTCTATCTCTACTATAGACGACTCAGGTGTACCTTTACCACAAGTTGATATGAGAACCCAAAGTCGCATAGATAATATATTTTTTACACAAGCTGATATTGTTGACATCCTTAAGTCTCTTAAATTAGGTAAAGCTGTTGGATATGATAAAATTAGTCACCAAATGCTTAAAAACACAGCTCTTTATGTTTCATTTCCGCTATTTCTTATATTCAGAAAGTCTCTTGATCAAGGAATTTATCCCAATTCCTGGAAAAAAGCTTTAGTCATGCCCATTTTTAAGAAAGGCGATAAACAATGCCCCAGTAATTATAGACCAATAGCTTTATTAAGCACTGTAGGGAAAGTTTTTGAAAAAGTTATTACAAAATTTCTGCATAATTATTTATTAGAAAATTCATTGTTATATAAATACCAATCTGGATTTCAGCCAGGTCACTCAACAGTACATCAACTAATTGAAATTTATCATAATGTATGCATAAATCTAGAAAACCGTCATCATACCTGTCTTGTTTTTTGCGACATTTCCAAAGCTTTTGATCGGGTTTGGCATGCAGGTCTTGTACACAAATTAAAAAGCTATGGAATAAATGGAAATCTTTTAGACTGGCTATCCGATTATGTACAGAATCGCCATCAACAAGTCTTCATCCACAATGTTACTTCTCATACTAAAACAACTAATGCTGGTGTACCCCAGGGCTCTGTCTTAGGTCCGCTTCTTTTTCTCTTGTATATCAACGATATAACTGATAACCTTGTCAGCCCTTCCCGTCTTTTTGCTGATGATACTTCCCTATCCGTCTCTTCTCCTTCCGCAATTGAACTAGAAACTACTACTAACCGAGATCTTGAAAAAATTCATAACTGGGCAGAAAATTGGCTTGTTAAATTTAATCCTAATAAAACTGAAGCGCTACTAATTTCAAATACCAATGCTGAGCTTGATGTCAATCTCATTTTTAATAATGTTAATATTGATTTTATCGAACATCATAAACATCTAGGCATTTTCCTAGATGCTAACTGTAAATGGACTCACCATATTGATAACATTTGTAAAACTGTTACGAAACAAATAGGAATTCTCCGCAAGTTAAAATATACTTTAAATCGCAAGACATTAAACAGAATTTATCTTACTTTTATACTCCCTCTGCTTGAATACTGTTGCGAAGTTTGGGACGGTTGTACAACTGCCGATGCAAATAAACTTGAAAAACTCCAGTTAGAAGCGGCGCGTATTGTCACCGGCCTGCCATCTTTTGCTAGTAGAGCGTCTCTTTACTTCGAAACTGGTTGGGAAGTCTTGTCTCAACGTCGCACCC